GTAGACATCTTTAAGCTCAACACCGTTGGACCTCAAAAGTATGTGTAAATGCCATCCATAGCGTGTAATTAAAATGAGTAAGGTCACTGATGAAGATTAAAAATATAAACTTAAGTAAAAAATGATAGCTTTGAAAATTACACATATATATCTGAATGTTCAAACTTAAAAATTGCTTGATAACTGACATTTTGACTATAACTCTATAATTATACATGTACTTCAGTGAAATACATGCCTACATACATAGAATTGTGTTTTATTTTAATTGTTTTAAGGAAGTAAAAATAAGTTTCATTTCTTTTTGTGAAGTGATCTCATAAAGGATTTTGAGTGGATTTATATCCATTTTAAATCCTTTGTGGAATCACTTCTCAAAAAATCACAGAAGAGAGGATGACATTAAGGCTATTCATGGTTGTGCCCCTGATTATATAAGGGAACTTATTAGCATTACTGTGACATGACTTTGTCTGCTACCTTTATAATGAAGTTATGGTCACTTTGATCTCAAGGATGCTTTTGTTCCATGAAGGAGGCTGAACTACATGAGGTCTGTTACCAGTGCAAATAGCAACTGGTACATCTGTGAATGACTTGATTACTTGCATTCTGTATTGTAGGTATCTCAATACATACAAGAAATATCAGGACTTACTGAACAACAAGGCTGACACAGAGATCAACACTTTCATTCAAGATGAGCCCGTTTTGTTGGCTTTATCCAAGGTACTAAGTTTGAAGTTGCTGTTTGTATGCACTTGAACATGTTTATACTCCTGGTTAAGGAGTAATTATGTCTTGTGCTCATGCGATCACCTTTGCTAGGTTAATCACTTGAATCACTTTCCTGTCTGTATATTCCAAGAAAGAGTGTTACTACAATTGAATGAGTGTTATAATTTTAGGTTTGTGGGAAATTGTGGCAACAAAAAAGTGTATATGACGCGCATTTTTTTTTTCTCCCGGTGTTTGATTATTTGAAACATGAAATCGACAAAAACTGGATCAGATCTGACAAAAAAGAATTGGAGATTTAGTAAAAAAAAAAAAAAAAATTTAGTAAAAAAAACAAAAAAAAAAAATTTAGTAAAAAAAACAAAAAAAAATTGGAGATTTAGTAAAAAAAAAAAAAAAAATTGGAGATTTAGTAAAAAAAAAATAATAATAAATTTAGTAAAAAAAAAAAAAAATTGGAGATTTAGTAATTTGGGAGCCCTTACCGACTCGTTAAAGAAAAAGCGTTATGATTGCAGATTGTAAAAGGTAGAGTTAAATTGCTGAAGTTGCTAGGGGGACTGTCCTCTCAGTGGTAAAACATCTGGAGATAACAATATTTTGTTATTTTTATGTCGTTATAATGATGAATAAGCAGAACCTTTTTTTTTCTTTTTTTTTTTTTTTGCAGAAAATTGATTCCTACCTGAATCTCTCCAAAGAGATTGCCTCCTTGCACATCACTGTTCCTCTTAACATGCTCTGTTTGAATTGTGATGATGTCAACCAGGAGCTGTCTGCCCGTGCTGTGAGACTAGCCGACAGAATGATACAGTATGTTGTGGATCAGAACAGGGACAAAAATAGAGGGTATGGACATCATTCAGCTCTCTGTTATCCTTCTCTCGCTCAAATTAGGGCTGCGTTCCGAGCTGGAACTGTTTAGATTGCCGTGACGACTTGGAAAAACATTGCTGACCAAATTTTTTCAGCGTAAGTCGCTAATTTGGCGACTTTTGTGGGTAGATGAATTGTTTTTATGACTTTGGTTTTTGAAGTGTAAAGTGTAAAAGATGGACATTTTCACAAAGTATCAGTCGTGCTCAATTCTACTATTGCACAAAGCGTCTTCCTTTTGTTTGTTTTTTTCTGGCGACCAAAATTTTTTATTCTGGTGACCACTTTACGATCATTTAAGTCAGCAAGTGGTGACTTCGAAAAAAGTTGAGAGTGGAGTGCTAACGAGTGCTTCAAAGAGTCGCTAATGTGGTGTCATTATGATTTGGTTTCAAACATGCTAGGTACGTATTCCTTTGATCGAATTTCGATATCTGGATCATTGTACTCGGGAAGAGTGATTAAATTTTTGGATGAAATGTTACTTTGTCGTAATTCACTGTAAGTGGATTTCGAAAATAGCAAAGGAAAATTTCATCGTTTCTTGCGAGTACGTAATGTGGGATAGTCGTGATATAAGTGGTGCATGTTGATATTTGGTGTTGCTGACTAAGTCGTGAAGATATGCTATTAGGGACTTTAAGCAAACCACGACGGCTACGGCAACGAGAACGTGGAAAACCAATGGATTTAATTGGTAGAACAATAGCCCAGCACGTGTGTTTTGAAACTTTGTACATTTCTTAGCCGTCCTTTGCAAAAAAACAACGTGAAGTCACCAAAATTTGCGTCGTCTGCGAAGCGAGACCACGGCGGCGAATTATTTTAATTTACATTTGGAACTCAACGCTACTTTTCTGCGTTATGTTGAGTTTGAGGTCTGGCGCCCTATGAGACGGTAAACACATGCAGCCATTTTCAAAATTCTAACTAAAAGTAGAAACTCATTTTTTAATCTACGTCTTCCGTGGCATTGCCGTCCTGACTGCTTAGAGTCCCTATTGACAGAGTTACCGAAAGCTGTGGCACTTTGGGCCTTCTGGCTTGGTGACTGACGCAGGGTTCTTTATTTACAGGTTGTGTAAATCCTATGACGAGATATCGGACAAAGTGCAAGAGATGCCAGATAATACAAGTGACTTGGTAGCACTGACCCACTACTTGGAGAATGCTAGCTCTGTTACTGTTGTCAACTTACAGACCGCCGTTGATGAGGCTGGAGAGAGACTGCTATTTTTACTTGATTATGCCACACTTCCATGTATGTTGAGCTGGTTATAAGGTTGAGTTGGACATTTAGTCTCAAAAGTTTAAGTTGGATAAGTCGTAGTTCCAGTGAAAAGACCAAACCATGCATGCCTAGTGTTAATTTTTTTGATTGACAACGAAAAAATCTTCCCCGCTACCGGGGATTGTGTTTTGACGTTGTTGAGGTGCAGTGTTTAGTTGAGGTGTTTTTTTTTTTTTTTTTGAGGCCTACGATGATTACACCAATATTTTTTGACATTGTCATGTCGTGATGATTGTGCTTTTTTTTTTCACCAACAGATGAAGACCTAAAATTGAACAGCACTGTATTTCACTGGCCGGAACATATTCAGAAGATCTTTGAGCTCAGCAGGAACCGAATAGGACACAGAAAGGATCTGGCTATGGATGAAGTCAAAAGAAAGTGAGTTGTGTTTCTTTCACGCTCTTTGGTCGGTTGTTTTGAAAATTCTTCGACGAGTAATGTTGTTTAAGACTATATCCCGCACTGCAGGTACACTTTGTTAAGGAAACACTGACAGCAACATTTATTCACGGTCCAGCTGCCATGTCGGACGAGGGTCTATCACTCGAAACGTCAGTTATAGAAACTCTTAATGGTGGCCAATTTACAATACCAACTTCGTTGACAAAACCAAATTATCTGATAATAACCGCCATAGATGCAACACCGCAGCTTCTTTAGAAACTTACCCCTTTACCATCTCAAGTGTTTGTAATAACAGACATGTTATTCAGAGAAGGAATTGTACACCGTTGGGTGATCAGTAAGCGAGTAATTAGTAAAATTCGGTAATGACCAAGATGTTACTTTTTGAATGTTATGCAAACTCTCGATGTTCGTGGAAGAATCTTTTATTGCATATGCGTGTAACATTAAACGTATGTAAGAGGTAGTGTAAAGTGTCATTATCATTTTCACTGTCGCTGTTATGGCCGTTTTTTTCATCACGTACAACACGATTTACGTTGTCACTAGATATCACATCTAGTTTGTTCACAAAGACATTATTTAGCATGTTCTAACACATATTGAAAAAAAACCCGATATATTCTTTATACAGGGTCAAGGCATTTGAAGATAAACTTCATGGGTACAACAAGGAAGTTGAAGCCTTTAGGAAGAAAGAGGCAAGCTTAATTAAGCTTTAAAGCATCAAAGTGATGTTAAACCTATCAAAACTTGTAAAGTTTTTTAAATTGTACTCATATGATGAACACACACTTGAGAGTGGTCAGGAGAAATAGTCATTTAACACTGACTTTTGTTCTTGTCAAATTCTTTGAAAAATGTTAACAAATTACGTTTTTTCTCCCTGTAGATCATGGCTGCTGATGAGATGAAAAAGAATGTTGAGAAGCTCGATGAGCTTGAGGAATCACTGAAAAACGCGCAGGAGGAATTGATTGTATGTTTCGTGCACTCGTAATTAGGGACTTTAAGCAAACCACGACGGCTACTGTATCGAGAACGTGGATAAACAATAGATCTAATTGGCAGAACAATAGCCAACCACGTGCGTTTTAAAACTTTGTACATTTCCTAGCCGTCCTTTGCAAAACAACAACGTGAAATCACCAAAATTTGCTTCGTCTGTGAAGCGAAACCGCGGCGGCAAATTATTATTTTAATTTACATTTGGAACTCAACGCTACTTTTATACGTTATGTTGAGTTTGAGGTCTAGCGCCCTATGAGAAGGTAAACGCATGCAGTCATTTTCGAAATTCTAACTAAAAGTAGAAACTAATTTTTTAATCGACGTCTTCCGTGGCGTTGCTGTCCTGACTGCTTAAAGTCCCTATTGTCAATGTTGAAACGGATGTCTTTAATCTGTTTTGTTTTACTGGGTGGAAGGTGGACCCTAATGTATAAAAGAACCTCCTGACTGGTGATCATTTCCTTTATTCCCATGACCTTAATT